TAAAACAGTTGATATACATGAATGGATATAATAATAAAACATATATCTTTTCATGATGTATTCAAGGCAACTATAGCTTCAAAATAAAGCTAGAAAGATCCAAGAACTAGTCGGCTTTGTCCACTTTATAATTTTTTTCCCACTGCTCTTATTTGCTCACTCATATATATTTGTCTATCTAAAATCATAAATATTATTGTTTAATAATATAAATATTGCTTCAAAAGAAAAAAGAGCTATACAAATTACGATCTACAATTTTCGGTATATTATTGCCTTGTCTTTGGCTAACGCCAAAAATATTTGAAGAACACTTGACGTAAATATTATTTAATATTACAATTTACTATTCCATCCGTTACATATTTGTAACTCGATTTTGTATGATTTACAGCTAAGACCCAGCTCATTTTCACAGCTCATTCAAAAAAGAGCATTTTAACAAATTTGAAGGTCAGCCCAGCTTTGGTAAATAGGCGGAAAGCGTGATTCCCACGTTTTATGTTTCCGTCGAATAGCTTCAAATTAACATAAATAGATACATGTTAAAAATAAGTTCAAATATGGGTATCAAGGTTGTGGCTTTAAAAATTTTACAAGTCAAAAGCAGAAAACTAGAGCAAGCTTTAGGTAAAAAAGAAATAAATAAATATAAATGCCAATAGAATCGATCTATATTTTTTTTTATGATTATTGAATCAGTGAACCATAAAAGCTGCTTTTACAATTTCCAAATTGAATTTATGTAGGTTCGAGTGAGTTGAAGTGCATTTCATCAGACCATCATCATGGGGAATCGTCGTCCTTTTTGCGAGTGGCGAATGCTCTGTCGCATTGCATATATTATGCTTTTAACAGATTTTGTTCTTGGTGTTTTATTTCTAACCCGCCCAGTTCCAGCGCCGGCCCCTTTCCCTCTCCCTCTCCCTCTCCCATTGCATTCAATTTAGTTATTTCATTTGACGTTCGCTTCGCTTCACTTTCCCTCTGGCCCGACACATGGCGGATATGAGAATTGTAGGCGAGCGTTTTGTAACCAACCATGTGCTAAAAGTGGGCCCATAGAACGTGCGAATGCCAAAGCGATTGAGCGGAAGAAGGTGCAGATGGCTGGCAGGGCCCTGTGGTTAGCTCTCAGCGTGTGGCCGTGTTGGCTCGTGGTTCGTGCTGTGCCACCTCAGCGCCGAATGTGGGCTGGCTCTTTCCAGTGTCAAGTGTAAATGCAATTTTCAAATACGCAGAGTGTGCAGAAATCAGCGAATGAAAGCAAAAAGCGTTGTTTGTTTCTATTGATTTTTCCATTTCCCCTCCCTATTCCGCCTCTAACCAGCTATCGTTAAACAAAGCCGAAGGCCGCTGGCGGGTCGCCGTACATAAGATGTCAACAAAAGCGATATCACAAAATCATTTCGAGCGGCTGAAGCTAACCCACAAAACGCGTGTTGTGTCTAAATTTAAATATTTATTTATGCTGCCAGCCAAAGGACAAAAATATACAAAAATAAACAAGAATTTTTATGGCGCTCGTCTGTCTCCTAGGTCCGCTTAAAAAAAAGGTGTGTCACATTTAATGAATTTAAGCATATATTTTATTTCATACAAGGCTTGTCAAAAATTAAATTTAAATTGCTAAAAAGCTTAAAGCTGAAGTTGTTGTAAATAATAATAATTTGTATTTATTTATTAGACAATAAATAAAAAATTTGCTATAAGTCATAGGGCTAAAACTATTTCTAGCTGTATTCATTTCGTGTATATAATATATAATTATTATATAAGTTTTGATTACTTTTACTTTTTATGTACAAACATATAATGTTGTTATGTCTATGTGCGTGCGTGTTAGTGTACATGCAAGTCGCATAGTTAATGGATCGAAACTGAGGCGCTGAGGTGAGAGCAGGCTGGCCTGGAATAAGTAGCTCTGCTCATGCATACGCTGTCACTTGACATGCCTGGGTAATTACATACATACACGACTACACACACACACACATAACACTACACACCTACACACACACACACATGCACGCACATAGGTGTCCTCATGCACACCCTCGCTCTAATTATAGCGAAACTTTTCTAGACTTGACTGGCATATATTTTGCAGTTCCAGGTATCGAAATTCTTGGCTAAAGTAACGGCTCATACCAAATTTGGCCGTGAATAGGTAAAACGTAGACACAGCCGGCTTGAGGGGCAAGTGAGGAGTGGGTGGCACAGCTGTGAGTGAGCATAAAAATACGCATTGATTGGAGTCAACGTTTGGCGTTGATGGCTCATGGCCTTGTCCCCAAGGCTTTGCCATGCGACACATGTGACAAATTTGTGGCTCTGTGCATGGCCAAGTGTCATATGAATCGTGGCACACGCATGGCCACTTATGCCCTGCCATGCCCATCTACCCACTCTGCGTAACCCAAAAAGTTCTATTTGCCTCGACTTGTTTGAGCTGCCCTGCGTGGAGGGAATCCTATTAGCTTACTGTGTTTCTTCCGTTCGATGGCGAAGTGAAACAATTGCGTAATATGATTTTTGGTAACTGAATAAACAGCAATCGATTTGCTTTTTCTGATGCTCTCGTTCGAGGAACTCTGCTTGAGGATTATGCTAATTGAAGAATAATTAAGCTGAATAAGCAATCAGAACAGTTTGCTGGCCATTTAGTATTTACATCTATGTGGTTCGAGGAAAATGGAAGTAAATTATATATAAATGCGTAATTTCAGACATGAACAAGGCATCTCATGACAAAGATCATTAACTGGTATATGGTTTGGTTGTCTATGAATAAGTTCAACTGATGATGTATAATTATTAGCAGTGTGCATTGCTTTACTTAATTATCCTTCTCTAAATGAAGTCAAAGTTCTAAAGCTTACAATAATTTAGTAAAAATCAAAGTCTTGTCTTTGATTAAATTTTTTTGAGCTAAGTTTTAAATTTATATTAAAAATATTTTATATATAAATTAAAAATATTTTCAATATTTCACATTTAACATTTTATTCTTCAATCATTATTAGTTAATTTAATGAAAGCCCTTATCAAGCGCTTTTCTCTAATTAAATTTTCATTTAACAGCTTTAGCGAAACATCAAACTTTTTCTATTGAAAATTCAATTTCAATTTTATCATAATTTCTCAAGCGACCTTAGATTGCTTGCCAAGTGTTTTGCATGTTGCCTGGCTCTGAATTTTTCTCGCATATAATTTATTGATTCGTTATATAATTCGATTGGAAACTCGTTTACGTACTCTGCCGCAACCTAATCAGGGCTGGCACATTATCAAAAAGGTTTGAGGCAGGCTTGGCACTGACATGGCTTTGCTTAGCTGAAAATTAGAATCCAGCATCTGCAATTGGCAATGTCGCCTAGAAAGGCAGCACTTGAGTGACCTCCTGACCCGCTTTACAAGGCGACATGCTGAGTGGAAGACCCTTATATGAACTCGTTACAAGAGAGTAAAAGGCTAAGATACTCTGTAGGGAATTTAAGTCAGAGTTGATTGGTTCAATGCACCAATGCTGATATTGATGAACCATACAAGTTGTTTAGTAATATATTATTGAATTATTATTTCGCCCCTTCAAGCATATATAATCTGAGACACAGCTATAAATCGATATCTCTGGCAGCAGTAAATGCAAGTGGCTCCGATTCAACGTAATTTCACGCTTGATATACCCATTGTACCGCCTCCGTTCGCATATCGCTTGCAAGCACGTTCTTATCAACAAAGCGCATTCAGACTCTGAGGCAGCAGCAGATTTCCCAAACGCTTTCACTCTCAATGTCAAAAGCGTTTGTCACTTCCCTGACCGTTTCGTTTTACAAAAGGTGCACAAGCAACAAAATATGATTTATTTGTTTTGATTTCTCGTGTTTTTGTTATTATTATTATAGCGTTCGAGGAAAACAATTACATATTAATCAAAATGCGAAAGGCGTCTGCTCTGCTTGACACCACCAATAACCGAGTAGGCAATGTGAAATATATGAGAGGCCGGATAGACTTGAAGCTATCCTACAAAAACTGCGAGATAATGGAGAATAGTTTACCTAAGCATTCATTTAATCTTTAGTATGAGCTTAGACTTAAAGTTGAGTTTAGTTTGTTGTCGATCAATCAGTGAATCAGTCAATCAATCAATCACTCGATTGATTAATCAATAATTCAATTAATTGATCAATCAATTGATTCTCAGTGACTGAATATGGATTAAAACGTTGTTAAAGATTTTTACTGCATTAACTGTCTAACATACATATATTAAGGTAGACTTTCTTTTATTTTCTTCATAATATTACATTCGAATTGCTACCTTTTACCTCGAAAATCTTAATAAATTGTTAAACAACCTTGAGAAATATTCTATAAATTTTAATCGCTAACTTGATTCCTAATATTTTTTTCTATTCGGCCTCAACTGTATTATTATTATACCATTTAATTTAACAATAAATTGTGATTAAAGGCTTTTGTTACTAAATGTTTTATTGATTTATATTAATTATTTTTCTTGTTCGTTTCCACAATACATTATACATTTTTATACATTTTTTTTTAAATTTTTTATTTCATTTCATTTAATGGACAATTTACGATATTTTGTTCTATTTTCAGATACATAGATACACAGCTGCCTTCTACGTAGATATATCATCAAGATTAGCAAATTGTAGCATGCTATGTATAGAGTATACTCAAGCATACATACATATATTATGTTATGAGTTAAACTAACCAGTAGATAGTTCACACGCAACGATTTAGCTGTGCGAGTTTCTTAATTGCCTGAATTCAGCCAAAAACCAACACGCCCCATTTGTATGGCTTAGAATGCAAAGGGGTAAATCAAAGAGTGAAACTGTCAACCTTAACAAAAAAGTTGGCCTGTTGCCACCCGCAGTCCGCTACCCGCAATCCGCCACGCGCCAGCTGTCAACCATCCACCCGCACCCGGCCTTTTAGCAGTTGGGCTAGAAGTAACTTACCGTATTTACCAGGAAGCTCTGGTCCAGCTTTAAGGGCGAAAAAGTTGGCAACAGTAACAGTAACTGCTGCTGCTGCTGCTGCTGCGGCTGAAGCTTACTGACCCAGTTAGTTACTACGGCTGCTGCTGCTGCTGCTGCTGTTGGCTCTTTAAATGCTGCTCATTTGGTAGTATTTGTCTTTGGATTTGCAACGGTGGTTTATCTTGATTGTTGTCGAGCTGAATGCTCTGCCCGTGCGCTGGCAGTGTTTGCGTTTTCAATTAGTTGCCAAAGCTCTGCTAGCACTTACAGTTAGGTCAGGTGTGTGTGGGCTAGCCTGTGCGAGATGTTGGCATTCATTTATTTTTATAAATTATCGATTTTCGGCTTTTGTTGTTTTTGTTGCCATTCACAAGAATAAATATATTGGCATTTGGATTTGGCTACACATTAATTCGGCTAATAAACATTTACTTTGCTGAACTACGTTAACTTTAAATGCACTTTGTTAAGGGTACGGGTCAGAGGATTTGATTAACACATACACATATATATGTGTACTTATATATATATACACATCAATAGATAAAAGGTAATTAGAAATGTTATATTTGTATTTAATTGGCTTGGTTGTATTTTTGGTTTATTTTTATTTATTTGTTTATTTATTTATTTTCGATAAACTTTTTTTTTTGTTGCTGCTAAACGATTTTTCTTGCAAATTTCTTGACCAGCAGCTTTCGTGCAGGTTTCCGCCCGAGCTGAAAAAACACGTCCGCACTGTGCCACGAGCCAGGAGAACCTGAAAATCAGTACACATACTGCCCCATAGACCTAGACTCGGCTTGGCAAACGCACGCACACACACACACACGCACACACACTCTCTCTGGCGCGCCCTCTCTTTGTGTGTGCGCTCTCTCTTTCGTTTTTGGCTCTGTGTTCATACCACATGTTCTCTTGCGTCGCCGCAGCTCCCACGCGGCATCCTGTGACATTTACAATGTCACAGAGAGCCAAGCCAAGAGAGCGGGCGGCCAAGCACATAAGATTTGCCGCGAGAGCAAGTGTGTGTGCATGTGTGTGTGTGTGTGGGTGGGAAGCCTACCCCAAGGGTGGCTGGGCAACCACCTACAATTTGTTTTCATTTTGTTCTTTGCCTGGGAGCCAACTCCTGTGGGGCGTTCTGCTCTTATGATATATCAGTGATGTGCCAAGCACAAATGCTCGTCATGTGTTGCCATGAATTGCTGGGATGTGCCATAAAGTACAGGGTATGCGACACAGTCAAGGCCAATTGCTGATAAGCATTATGAGCAACAGCCCAATGATAGGGCATTCAAAATAACAAATTTTACAATGTAATTGAAGAAAATATTGAGTGAGCAAAGGAAGGAAAAAATACGATGAAAATTGTATGATTATTATAATTAATATTATTATTATTATTGTATACATGGCATACATATGATTATTTTGAGTAAGAGCAAAGCCAGGCTTCCAATTGTGGAATTTAAGAGGCTTTGAAGCTGTTCTGATGGGGCCTACAAACATGAATGTTACTTGTTATTTATTTATTTACTTTGGTTAAAATAATGTTTATATTTTGAATTGGTATTTATTATTTATTTATATAATTTTTATTTTTTTTTGCAAATAATATATAATAATACTATGTATATAAAGGATTCTTAGACTATAATGGAGTAGAGGCAGACATGTTTGTTGGTCTAGGCTAGGCATTTAAATATTGAGTTGAAAATGAAAATAAGTTATTCATTGAGTATGGTACGCGTAAGCGCTTGAGTCTATTGCTTCGCCGTCTGAGTAATGTCGGGCTGGAGCAGAGTTTTTAGTGATATGTTGTTGAAGGTTTCGTTGGTTATGACTCATTCGAGTTAAGCTCCTTTGATATATCTGAGCAAGTTGACTTCTCTCATCAGTTTACACTCACGACTGTTTAATATCCTTATGAATGCTTGAAATGATATCCAAAATTATCGTAATAATGAATCATTAATTTGCTTTCTTCTGCAGGTATCATGAACCATATTGTCGTAAATTTGAATGCCATTGCCGTAACATTAATCGCCTTGATAAATATGTATTCATATCTGCTTTGACACGCCCACCAATTCAGCCATGCGGTCATGGGACGACTGTGGAACACCCTATATACCTTTTGAGTGCTGAATGTAGTGTAAGCAAGAGAACTTTGTCCAGTTCATCCGTTCTGCGACATGTGAGCTGCGCATGTAAAGCAACATCAATCTGGACGCTTGTCGCGATAGCCCGACTTCCAGTTGGCTATCAATCAGAGACTTGTCCACGTCTTAGCGAGCAATGCGAAGCACTTTGAATATCGCTATCATCAGGTGACCGCCCATTGGGGCGCGTGTCTGCGAGTCATTGACTGGCAAAGCGTGTACTCCCGCCACCCCCAATGGGGGACTTATAAAGCAATTCAATTGGCGCTGCTGACGTAGGCAAACTGGCTAAAAGGGGTTTCTCGCCCAGCACACTCGGACACTCATCACCAATGTGAGCACTCTGTTGCTATCTGCCATGAAATAGTTTGGGGTTTGGGTTTGGGGTTTGGGGTTTGGGGTGCAATCGCTGTTTATTATCTTACTGGGTGCGGGGGCTAATGCCGGTGGGTGCTTATGCTAATTAGGTGTGGGGCTAGGTAAAGAAGTGCTGCTGGTAGTCCATGACGTGGTCGTTGTCTCTGTCCCTGTCGTGCTCCCGCTGCCTCTGTCGGCCCCTCTCCAGCTCAGCCTGGCAGGGATCGGCAGCGGCAGAGGCCGCTGATGACGAGTGCACGGGATGCTCACGTGGCCAGCCATGGTGATCGGCTGCATCGTCATCATAGTACTGATCGCTGTCGTGCCCATAGGCATCCGAATCTTCAGCAGAGCTGAGGCCATATAACGGACTACCATGTCCGCGCTGATGACTCGCGGGCGCCGAGGGCGGCGTGCCCATGCGGCCGTAATTGGGCATGGTGCGTCTACCTGGCCAATTGCGTGGCACCGGCACCGGCACCGGCACGGGCTTGCGGCCAGCGTAGTGCCTCGACGGCAGCTGATGGTCGTGCCCAGCGTGTCCAGCCTCATCGCTGCACTTGATGCCCCGCACAATGTTGTTCATGTAGATCGAGTGGGGCAGCGGCTCGCGCTGCTTCGGCCTCGGCCTGGGCATAATCTGTTTGTTGCTCACGTAGAAGTCGCGTCGGTGCGGCTGCTGCGGCAGCGTGCCAATCCGCTGCCGTGGCTTGGCAAACTGACCCTCATAGAGAATGGGCTCCACAATGTTGCCCAAGGGCTTGCGATAACGAGGTGGATGGCGCATGTTGCCTGCGAGGGATTGAAAAGGACTTTGGTTCTCTTTCTGCCAATTTCAGCTTGAGCTCTACGCTTACCCATGCCGCCGCCCGGTGAGAACTGTGGACAGAGATTCGTGTTCTGGTCCGCGTTGTCCTCGCACTCTTCGCTGGCTAATTAGAGTTAAATAAGTTAGGTAATCCCATTTCTCGATAAAGTTGACCTTGTGCTTAATGAGCTTCCACCTACCTTCAGGCTCGCAGTCTTCCGCTTCCTCATACGCCTCGCTCTCGGAGTTTCTCTCTGCCGTTTCCTCATCTTCCGAGCACTCACTGGCTGCTGCTGGAATTGCCATTGCTTCCGGCCGCAATGTGCTGGATGCTGGAATGTTCTTTACAACTACCGGAGACACGTCACTCGACTGCACGGCTCCATCGTGTTTGATCGGCGGTGCATCCGGTACGCCTGCCTTTTTCTTTGAGCTCTTCTTGCGTCGTCCTCTTTTATCGGACTTCTTTTGCACGGGACTGTTTTTGTCGTTCTTGGGCATGTCCATCATTGGGGTGGTTAGCTCAGTGGTTGTGGTGGTTTCAGTTGTGGTGTAGGTGATGTAGGTGGTGCTGCTGTACGGTGTGCTGCTCATTTCAGTGGTCTCAGTGGTTTCCACTGTTGTGTTCAGCGTTGTGGGCACCGTGGTCTCCTCAGTTGTCTCCGATTCGGTGGCATTCGCTGGCGAGCTGGTGGTGCTGTTGTTGGTGTCGGTGGTGTTCAGAGCATTAGCGGCGCTGTTCGGCAGCTGCTTTTGCTTCGGCGTTCTGCACTTCTTGTCCTTGGGCTTCTTGGCACTGGGACGGCTGGTTGTGGTCGACGTGGGCTGCTGCATGGCCAGGGTGAAGTTTGTGCAGGGATCTTGGTGCATCAGCGGCGTGCGCAGCACCACCACCCGTATGAAGCAGGGATGATCCATGGGCACCAGCGGATGTGGACAGAGCGGCGGCGTGGAGTGCGGTGCCGAGGCATCGTGGCACGCTCCCCCAAAGTCGCCGCACTCCTCACTGTCGTCGCTCTCGAAGTCCTCCTCGAACAGCTGGCTGCTGTCCATGGGCAGGCTGTCCTCGCACGGCACTGAGGAGGCATACGCTATGGGCGGCGATCGTTGATTGCGCCCACTCCCGTCGACGCTATCCATGCGCAATATGTTCTGCATCATCTCCAGCATTTGCAGTTCGCGTTTGGGCAGCGCCGAGCTAGATTTCGCGTTGCAGTTGATATTTATTTTGGATTGGAGCTTGGACATCTTTGATTTATCAACTTACCCGATGCTGGGCCCACAGAGTAGCGCCCAGAGCAGCAGCAGCAGCAGCGCCGGCATCGATATAGTTGTTGGCGTCTTGGCAGTTTCCATGGAAATGTTGCCACAGCTCGGTCAGCGTTTGGCTTTTGTTTTGTCTCACGGCGACGTTGGCGGCGTCTCAAATGATCGACGGCACACGTAGCTGGCCGATACCAAGTCTGCTGCTGGGGCCACAGCTCGAACGCTGCGCTCTCACTTTCGGGCAATTGAGATGCACTGCCCACACTGGCCCCGCCACACCACGCCCCCTTCCGCCACCCATGCCAAGCATCTCAGTTGATTCTGGGCGATTTTCGGTTGCCCAAAAATCATCAGAGCTTCTGGTCTGCTTTCTCATTAGAACGTCGCTGATCGACCATCGCCGGGCTTCGCTTTCGTTCGCTACGTGACCTCAGGGCAGAGTTTGCCAATTTTTCTTCTTCTTTTTCTCTTATTATTTTTGTTTTCTTTCAATGTTTTCATTTATTTTTTATTGTTTGTATTTTTTTCGTGTTTACTTTTCCATTCGCTTTTCGCTGTTGCTGCTCTACTCGACTTACATGTTGTTATTATTTTCATTTCTTTTGCTACACTATATATTTAGCGTATACGGCTATAATGTGGTCAAAATTATTTATTTATTTATTGTGT